TGAAGATTTCTCTTAATTTCTACCCTTATTTTCGAAAAGAACTTTTCCCCTTTCGCATTCCATCGTCTTTTCTTATTTGCCTCTTTTACGAGCAGCCAAATTACTTACGTGACGAGAAGAGATATCGAAGGGTGATAGGTACTTTAATATAAACGAAGAAAAATCGAGCGATTCGAAGCTTTTATTTCATGTCATTAATTAATAAGTTCTACTAATCTTTTCCAAACCTACGGTATCAACTCTGATATATTTCTTTTTTTTTTTTTTCTTAAACGTTGGCTATTCGTCGAATTCGACCATGCATAAATCGATATATTCACATAATATCTTTCATAAATTTTTGTAGATAAAAAATATAAGAAAATGTATTATCATATTTTTTTCATTAGACTTTACTCTTATTCGAAAATATACATTTAGTATCTTTCAAATGTTACAAAAAAAAAGTATTAAAAATAAAGTCTGCGAAATTAACTATCGGTCACCGATTATTCCCACGATATTCAACGTGTTAAAAAATTATGAAGGATATCGAATAGATACATCGATCACAAAAAAATTTGTCACTTCATTCGTATTGGTAGAATTTGAGATATTATTGGAATTCGAAATTTGTATTAGTCATTTGTCACAGTTTCAAAAAATGTCGATAAAACTGTCGATAAAACTGTCAAAAGTTATAAGGAAAATATGACAATTTACGAAGGGTCGTATACATAGAACAATGGAGATATTGTTTGAAAATTGACTTTCTATGCGTGGTTCTCACTGTTTTCGTGATCGAGAAGGGACAGTACAAAACCTGGTGAGGTGAAAAGAATAAATCGAAAGAAATCATGAGTTGTTTCCATACGGACTTGGTTGTTTCATTGTCTCTATGGTTCATGCATGATCGATGGTGCTTCTTTCGAATGTCTTCGCCAATGTCGTTTCTTCTTTCTGTTTTTGTCCTTTATCGTGAAAATTTGAACAGGTTGCCATCTCTAAATCGACATCTCGGTCGAACCGCATTGTTTCGATTCAATCTATTGAAATCCATCGTACTAAATAATTCATAAACGAATGAATAAATTGTATTGGTGACTTTGTAATCGTCTGACTAAGAGACCATGTATTGGAAAATTCTTAAAATATGAAACGTTACATATATTCTACAATTTCACTTTAGATATAGAACATGAGAATGATAAATAAATAAGATTAATTTAATATTATTATGATGAATGCTTTTAAAAAAATGTCTACACAATGAATATTCGATTTTACATAATTCAATTAAATTGTTTACGATAAAATATAAATAAACATAAAGTTTCTATTATATTAGTTTTTAATCGATCCTTTTCACAGCACTCTGATTGTAGTCTATCATTGTTTATATAATTAACATATTGACATACTTATAATAAACATATATTTGGATGCATTCACTAATTGTTCAGGTTTTAAGTAACTTCTCGTTTATTATTCGATTAATCCGATCATGTATAGATTCTTCAAAAAAAAATAATCTTTGTCGACTTTTCATAGAATTTACCTTTCCATTTTTTTGCATTTACCTTTTAAGCGAATCCAACCATTAGGTCGTGACCAAGAAACGCGCAAGGGTTGCAGAACTTTTATCTTTCCTTAACTATGGGAGCGTTTGTAGATAAAATGTTCTTCTCAACAATATCATATTAAACTTTGCAAAGATGATGCTGTTACAGACTATGCTATTATAGACTATGCTGTTATTACTTTGTCATTCCTTTGAATATGTTATCCTTTCACTTATTTTACAATGTCTGATATACATATAATCAATAGCAATTAATATCAAATGTAAAAACAAAAAAACTACATTTATTTAATTTTCTTATTAATCCTTCCTTTTGATATTTAAATAGAATTTGTTTGGTAAAACGGGATAAACTAAATCGATATGTTTTTAAACAATATAACGCTAAAGCTTTAATAACATAATCGCTACCGAAACATATTACGTCATTGGTTTCCAATAGAATCGTTGTATTACGAATTGATATTTAAATAATAATATCAGGAGAGAGATATTGTGCACAATGAAAATTAATTACCATAGAAACGATAATGTTCGATATACATGGTTGACGAAATTTAATTTGTTCGATTGTTATTTCAAAAATTTGAGAAAATTACCGAAATCATAGAGCTTTGCAGCTGATAATAATTACGAACTGAAAATAGTCTTCCAAATACAATTTGTATCTTTCTTTAGCACAAGGTTAACGTAAGTATTGCCAAGGGAAAAATAGATGAACGACACCCTTCTAATCACATGGTCAGAATTTTAGGGTTGGTTTCACTGTCGACATTGGGGGTGCTCGCAGAACCCTCTGGCTATTTATATATATATATGAGTTTCTACGTATATGTACCTACATAAAATGAAAGAAAGAAAGAGAATCAGAGGTAAAGAAGAAAGAGATATGCTACACATATAAACGAGAGATAAAGAAACACTACATACAGACTATATATATATATATTTATATATATATATTTATATATATATATATTTATATATACATATATATATATATATATATATATATATATATAGCCTGAAATCTTGTTTTCCCGTTTATTCTCCTACCAATATAGCTGCTTTGCTCGCAGCATTTTCCTTCTCTGATCTTCGGTGTAACGATAATTCGTAGAACTATGTGGAATTAGGTAGTGTGTATACATACACGTAATTTGGTTTACTCGTTCTTGTTTTATTTTTATTCGCAATCCCTTGGGCGCTTATACCATTTTCTGTGAAACGATCTTGTCGGCCAAGATACGGTCAAACGAATCAATTAATTCATCTAGCATTTACGAATATTGAGAAGCGTGTAATTTCATGAGTTATCGAAATCATTCATAAATAACTATATCAAATTTATTCTAGCATGACTTCTAATCTATAACGTAAATTCGATGAAATTTGTTATAACGCGTGATCATTTCTATAGAAAACGACTTCGAGAGTGATTATTACCGAGAAATAGCTACATATAGGATTTAGTATTAACATATATAGTATATATATGTATATATGTACATATATGTATATATATATATATATATATAACATTATCCGATCGATCTCGGTGATACACGTTTAGAAGAGGTTTTGTATCATGAACCGCGTAATTACGAAAGCGGTTTGGCCACCATCATTTCTCTCTCTCTCTTTCTCTCTCTTTCTCTCTCTCTCTCTCACTCTCTCTCTTCTTTTCTCTGGCCCTTTCTTTTTACCTTTCTCTTTAACTCTTTGACCAAACGTAATTTAAACTCGTTTTAGAATTTTGACATCAACCGTAATTGGTCAGAATTATGCAAATGAGGATCAGGCAGCGAAAGACTGCGCACAAGAAAATGAAACTGCCTTCGTTTAAAGCTTAAAGCCGAGTGATTATAAATTCATGAATGATGGCTAATATTATGACCCGTATTCTTTGTCGTAGATAGAATATTTAATTATTTCGTTAAGAGAAAAAGGGAAAGGAGAAATACAAAAAGTTCAGTTTATTCTGATATGAAAAATATTACAAGAATCTTCTCCAAACAAATTGTTTTTAAAAATTCCACCAAAATGATAAAGAAATAAAAGGAATGTTAGAATGTAATAAGAGAGAAAGTCACGTGTTTTCATCGTGAAAATTCATTTATTTATGTACTAATTCAATTGCATTTGATGCTTGAACATGGTACTAATTACTTTTTGAATTGTCGTTGGCAAGCCGTCTAGCGCTCAAGTTTCCGTCGCGGTCAATTTACCAATCAGATGATCTGCAAGTGAATTCGAGTTTTCGCGAGAGTAAGAGATTTCGAATCGACGGGATAAATGTTAAACAAACAGCATTGTCCCGATATATATTCAATTTATTCGCTGATCCGATTATTATATTATGAAATACAGAGATGCATATGCATAATATCTATATTAGGGAATGATCGATTTGTCAAACGAATTGGAAACTAAACGATAATAAACTATCGGTTGATAATAGATACAATAATATATGAAGGATTACGATTCTACGTAAAAATATTCTAAACGAAATAGAAAAATCAAATATAAGTATGCAAATTGAAATTTAAGATGTGACTTGAAATTAAAAATAAAATTTAATTTTTTTCATATAATTAATTAATGTAAAAACTTAAGTAAATATAAAAATGTATTAAAAATATATTCAGCAAAAAGAAACAATATAAAACTAAAAGCAATAACAAGCTATAGTCGTATAAAATGTAGTTTGAAAAATAAAATATAGAAAATGGAATAGTAGAATATATACCAGTCTTTTATTTCATATATTTACAGATAATTTATATTTTTAACTTTTCATTAATAAATTTTATAATAACAAAGTAATATAAACGATTTTATAATAACAGAGTAATATAAACGATAATATAAACGAGGAAATATAACATAAAAGGAGTAGGTTGATACATAGAAATTATTTGGAAACTGTATATATATAGCTTATTTATTATTAGATGTTTCAAGTTTATTATTTATCTATTTACTATGATAGAGCATACGTTTGTGTACACTGGAAATAGCAGTTGTCATTTAACTATTTTAGTTCTTATGGACAAAAAATAAATATTTATTTTGAAATGCTATAAAACTTTAGATCCTGAATTAGTTTGTTAATTTATGTTTTTATTACGTTTTGTTACTTTTTTTATATGTTCCATATTTTGTATAGAAATGTTTTCATATAACGACTTCCTAGGTTGATACATTTTTTCTGGGTCATATTGATATAACTTATCAATTTGAAACAATGAAAACTATAGATACCAATCAGAAAAATATAAAGAAAAATAACTGAAATAACATATTTTGAATAATAGAAATAGTTATTAAGAATCATATCAAAATGTTTTAGAGACGTATCAACTTATTCCATAATGAGTTAAATTGATACATTTTGATTTTATCAAATAAACATTTTTCATGTATTTTTATGTATATTGTTATGTATTGTATTGTATTGTTATAAATCTTTTCTAAAAATTTTCACTTACGATATGTAAAGAGGAAGAACCAAACTAGATTTTAGCATATTATTTATTAACTAATAAATTCAAACAAAAATTTGCCAAAATTGAAGATTGAAAAACATATTAAATTGTTTGGATTACTCCTATATAATATCTTACAATAACATATTTTATTGCGACAGGAGAACAGGATATTGATAAAACACGTTTTATTCGAAGAAATCGTATAAACATCGAGTGTTGATTGAAGCTTTCTGGTTTTCATGTTTAACGAAGGGCATGGATGTCGATCGACGAGAACGTTGAAAAGGGCGGTGTCGAACGTCGAGAAGTCAAGCTTTTTGTCATACGGCACGAGTCCGTTATTCTCCAACACATAGAGAAGGCCGTTCAAGTCGTAGGTCAAATTAACAACCAGTTAATAAAGCCGCGTTGGCACTTTGAAGCGCGAGCCTGACCGACTTTACGCCACGTTTCATCTTGCTTCGAAGTAGGAGTACGGTCGCGCTTGCTCTATTAGTTTCATTAATGCGTTTCTCTCGAATTTCCATCCTGTCACCTAGAGGAAGGAAGGTTCGCTAACGGCTACGCCAAGAGCTTTTAGCCCCCGCCCTTTAACGTCCCTTTGACCGATACAAACACACTTCCGGTAAATCCTTTTACCGCTTTATCTCTCTCTCTCTCTCTCTCTCTCTCTCTCTCTCTCTCTCATTTTCACTTTGTCTTTGTCTCTTTTCATCGTAAGCTTTTTACATGGCCAACGATAAATCTTTAGACTATTATATATTTTTTTAGCCTCATTAATTTTTCTTCTTTGAATCTAGTTAATAAAATTGTTGTCCATGAATATTGAATTTCTCTACCTCTAGGGAAATTTCTCTTTGACATCTTATACTTTTAACTTTGCTTTCTTTAATGTTCTTTTCTTACTCCCACTTTTTTATTGGTTTTTCTTTCTTTCTGCAATGATTTTGAGAAATTTCATAAGTAGGTGCGTGCACCGTAGCGGATATTACGATTAAGAGAACATCAAATATTAGCATTAAGTCTAACTACTGAGCGAGTAGAAACTGTTAGCCATATAGAGTGAGATAGCTCGGTCATACTTTGTTTGCCACCTGAAAGTCCAAGGAAACTATATAATGAAACTATATAACTCTTTCATCCTCAAACTATTCACAAACTCTACAACGTTGTAGGTGTCAGTTCTCTCGAGAAAGTTTAACATCGTATATACTTTGCAAATCTATAATACTTATCTCTTTTCTTTACATTTTTGTTACGTCATTATATTCTTCGTGATCATGTTGATCGACACGATTATTAAATAGTTGGATGTTTCCGATACGTGAATTATCTTTCGTTCATTTAACGAACTATATTTATTCCTTTCAATTTTTCCAAGTATAGCGATATTTCTCAGTATTTATTATTACATCATAGTTATCGACAACGTTACTTTAATGTCAGTGCATTATTTAAATAAGGTTTCCTTGAAACCTTCCATGTCAAATTATTCTTATATTTGACGACGTTACTGAGATTTCATAATGAATGTAGTGACGAATGAGTTCCTTCTAAAAGGGGTAGTTAATTAATGAGTTTGTTGCCCTCTGGTATTTCGTATCGACCATTTCAATTCTTGTGAGGGAAAGAGATGGGTATATATAAACACAAGAAACGTGAGAGAAAGGGGGAAATTAATGGAGCAATTTTCTCGATACTTTGGCATCGTCAAAGTTAGTTATAGTTTGACAATGAGTGCAGAAGCTTGGATATTAATCCTAGAATTGAATTTTAGACTAAAAATTGACAAAAAAAAAAAAATTGTCATTAAAAGATTCTATTAATTTTACCATTTAAATCTTTCTCTTGATTTTACATGTCATCGGTAAAATTTAGTTAAATTAAGCAAGTAATATCGCTTTTCAAGATTTTGTTAATATAAGAAAAATAAAAAATCATATATCTTACGGAAATACCATGGATTTTATGAAATCATTTATTAAATACTTCTTCTTCGATTTTTTTCGTCTATATTTTTTCGACTACATTTAAACGAAATATTTATTCCTTTAAAAACACAAAAAATTATTTATTTCATGAAGAGTTGCTTATGGAATTTTGCCTTCTTCATTCTTTTCTAACATACTTTTACATTCTTTTTTTTTTTTCTTTTAAATTATTCCTTAAAATTTATTTTATTGATCTTTTTCTGACTATTTAAAGAAACGAAATCCTTCGAGAAATCTTTCCTCAAAGATTCATAGGACGTATGACATCGTGCTTACTCATATAATAACTATGAGATTAATGTTCAAGGTCGATTTAACGAGATTGCCGATATTTCATCTCATCATTAAACGACAAGCTATTGTTTCCAGTCATAAGACTATAAAGAGTATTAGATTATGGTCTCGTACATATGTATACGTATATAGTATATATACTCATCTCTGAGATGTTATTAGGGTATATAGTATTGGTCCATTAGATGTATTTCTGTATAAATATTTGCGTATTCGAGAAGCGTAGAAAAAAAATTGCATTGAGATTAATTCGTATAATATTGATTATGCCATTTACTTGTGATTATAGAAGATCCCTACTTGTGATTATAGAAGTTCCATTTAGGTACATATAACTAAATATGTTCGTTCGTTCTTTTGTTAGAGGCCATCCACATAACTAAAAGGAAACGGAAGCACGTCCATTACAGTCACACATTTGTACATATGTACATACATTCGTAAGAACGCGGAACGTAGTGATAATTGTCACTGATAAGGCGGACAAGCAAGTAGTAACAGAGAACATTAGTAACTGTCAGATGTCTCTGAAGAATAAAAAATGATTAATCCAAATATTACTTATATTTATTAACTCTTAATTAAATGTGTATGATTGCGTAATTACGTATAAATTCTAATTTGCATTTCATTAATGTTATTTAACCAATTATTATTCGATTCACAGATTATAAGTATATTCTGTCTTAAAAATTTCTACAAAATCATGAATTATATGGTTATTGACGTTATTAATCGATTTGTAGGATATTGATTTTATACTAATTTGAACATTTTAAAATTCGATGTATATAAAAGGAAAAAATAAATTTTTCATTAGTCATTGGAATGAAAATTTCGAAGAATGAATAATTCAAGATTAGTACAAGCGGAATAGGTCGCGATAAAATCGTGTTGTTCATTGTTACGTCGATATGCACTTACCGTCTGTTCTACGTGTGTCACACGCTTATCATGGACATGCCGTCGTTATTTCTGATCGACGCGATCGATCACGATTAGCTTGCTTCTCGTTAACTCGTCTAACGATGTGAGTCGTTCTAGTGTAGCGGAGAAAGCTTTTCGTTATCGAGACACATTCATTCGCGACTTCGACATCAGAGCTGTCTTGCTTACATCGTACGTGCGTGGAGCCTTAATAGAAGTTATAATAGAATCATCTATGTCTCTATGTTATTCTGATCGATGAGCGAACAAAACATGCAACGAAACGATTAGAGCAACTATACTATGTTAAAATTGATATTTGTGTTTGTATTACGATGCGATCGATCGATTAGCATCGAAATCGGGTCTGAATTTTTCAAATGAAAATCTATTAACTGCTCACGATCAAATGTCTCTTCGAAATTATCGAAATTTATTCGATAAATTATATTTCTAACGCAAACGCTGGTTTTATCATCGAACGAATATAATTCAACTTTCGGTGCTAGAATCGAGATGATTACTCTCGAACGTTTTGACTATGATATATAAAAATCGAATTCGATCAGTTGGTGTAATTAAATTCTATTTTCTCTTCGTTGATAATAGTTAGACTCGAATTTATTATGAGAAAGGAGAAATAACGTCGATCGTTTGGATGATAAAAAAAGGAGAAAGAGTTATTGCAATTTTATCAAAGTTTAATCGTCGAATTTAAAAGCTTTTGATAATGTTAGTCGTTTAGTTGCAACAATAGATTGTTTATCTAGAAACGACTTTACTTTATAAATTTTTAATTAAAGTTTATTCAAGGACTTCATTAAATCTTATCATCTATTACAACTAACCAACAATTATTATTTACTTTTACAAGTAAGCTACAATTATTATTTACTTTTTTTTTTGAGCTTACAATCGATCTTTTTTTACACGATGATGTTCTAATCGACCTATTTCATCTATATAATCGATCGTCATATTTAAATTGTCAAGTAAAATCAATTTTTATCGCTTTTTTTCTACGAAACTTCTTTCTACTTTTTTTTGATGCCGATAGAACATTGATTTTATGAGCTGTCGGAAAGGTAAAATCGTCACGCCTCGCCTGCTTCAGAAAAAACCCCGACATTGTCGTTAAAAAACTTCTCGAACTAGAAACTGCGACGTGAAACTACCCCCTTAAGAGTCGTTTCTTCGGCAAATCTTTGCTATAATCGGCAGTTGAAAGAACATAGGTGAAAAGAAATAAATATATTGTTGAAATTCGAAAGAAGTTTCTTAAAGATTTGTTTTAATCTTTCCAGGGACAAAAATTATTTTATATTGAAAAAGATACAAAATTTATTTTAATTAATATTTTAAATACGACTTTTATAAGTCGTTAGTAAAATCACAGACGAAATATGATCATACAAATTGTTACTCGCATACTTATGATAATCATGAAAAAATTATTAAAGATACGCTAATTTTCCAATATTTCTGAAGAAATTAATAATTTTTTTTTCTATTTTAATTTTTTTTTTTTTTTAATTTTTTTTCCTTTAAAAGTTTTTACTAATGACGTCTCGGTTGAACTGTAACGGTCCTTTTACATTTCTCTGTTCTTTGAATCAAGAAGAACATGAGACACGATAAGGCGACCAGAAGGAAAGTTTTCACGGGAAAGGTGCGTGCGTTCCGGCTCGACACACATACTTTTTACTTCTCTTTTTCGTGTCTTTTCGCGTGCACGCTCGCACATATGTATGTACACGGAGATATACAGATAAATATCGACTACGTTTCCATCGCAACCGAAACGATCATTAGTGAACATTTTAACGCATAAAAGTTTTTTTCAATGGCAAATCAAACGTTTGACTAATTTTATTATAAATAATCATTTTGCTCCATTGTTGTGAAAATTGAAAAAAAAAAAATCATTCGAAAAATATATCTATATACACAGACAACATTTTAACATTTTTCAAAATTAAATCTAAAAATTTGTTTTTACGATAAACAAAAACAATTAAATATTTGCATATATTTTATTAATCGAATCTTTGGACCTTCTATAATATTTAATTCATCGTCATTACAACCAATGGCTATTTTCTTAAAATTCGAATTTTAAAAACTTTTATAGATATTGTTTAAATTTAATTATTTATCTTTTTAAATTTTTTTTTAAATTGCAATATTTTTCTAAATCGATATAATAAACTTAAACAATTTTGTTCTTTCCAAACGAATTTATTCTACTGTCGAATATACGAATATTTCTGACATTCGTTCATTAAACGATTTCGTTTCGTTTGAATTTATTTTAACGTTGCTACAAAGTTTTTATTATTTTCTTTTTATAAGATTCATTCTATCGTATAAACTTCTTCATTTTTCACATACTTTATTGTCCACATATAAATTTGACATGTTGCAAAATAACGAATGCGTTGTTCTCTTTTAATGAATGAGTAACGTTTAGCCAATATCGCAAAACATTTAGTAAAGACTTTCGCGTTTTTAATTAATACGATAGGATATTTCTCTCTTTTGTCAAACGCTAGCTCATCAAACCAAAATCAAATTTGCGAACTTGAACGAACTTGATGGATGGACGTCACACAAAACGTTCACATTTTTATCGTTAATTATGACATACATACGTATGTGTATATATGATAGTTTTATATTTATGTATGTCGTACGTGCTTGCAATACCGTGACCAACCACGTGTGACTTTCATTTAAATAACACTCTCCTGATTTACATCGCGATCACGTTGAAATGTATATACACGGAGGTTATCGTGGATGCACCATACGTATTTGCGAACTTGCTCGAATTGAATCCATCTCGAAGGAAAAGTTTCAAATTTCGTAATCGCAATCAGAGGTAATGAGAGAGAGAGGAGGGAGAGAGAGAGAGGAGAGAGAGAGAGAAAGGAGAGAGAGAGAGAGAGAGATCAAATCTCTTTCGTCGTTCATAATGGAGAAAATTTGTTTGGGATTATCTTTTAATTATTTTCTAGAATTCTTTAATAGACTCTTTAAGTAGAATTCTAGAAAGATCGATAAGTATATCTTCGTTGCATCGATCAAAAAAAAAAATAATTAAATGTTAAAAATGACGTAAAAATTACAACAAAGCTCAATTTCGAAGTTAAATTATCATGAGTTAATTTATAATTTTTATGATTGTTTAAATACGATCGCGAACAAATAATTAAACATTTCTTAATGTACGCGTTTATATTTCTTACTACATATATTTTCTTGAGTTGCACAATCGACAGTTAAGTTAAAGAAGTCGAATGCGAAGGATTATTCGTGAGTATAATCGTCGTGTCTATTAAATCAACCTCGGATATGATAATACCTTTGATTCGTGTTTTATTCAAGAGTGAATATCATTTAATTGATTGGCTTATTTCTAGCTGGAGAATATTTGGCTCGTTCGTGGCAACAGTTGCGCGTTGAAAAGATTTTTGAATATCATAAATCATGATGCTTCGTGTGAAGAGGAGAAACGAATTTTTGCTTTCCGTTTTACGAGTCATTTTCATGGTAGTCTTTACGTTCTTCTTACACTATACAATTTACGTTGAGCATCTCGTCCGGTTTAATCTTTTAAGAATTTAGCACACTTCGTTTCTTTGGTGAACGAAAAGCACCGTCTTTATCGTTTATAACGAAAAAGAAAGAAATAGGAGGAAGAGATTAAAGCGAAAGATTGCACAAGTGGCACAACATATATTATCTTGTATTTATCTATTGTGAGAAACGAATTACTGTTGAAGTTACGATGTCACTACGATCTCTCGAATTTTCTTTTCTTTTTTTTTTTTTTTTCCTTTTTTAAATTCATTTTTCATTTATCATTTTGTGCTTATTCTTAACATAGAGAATTTCTTAATATTCTTTCATCAAACGGCTCGTTTCAAGGCTATTTTTCAATCTTCATCACTAACGTATATAAAAAGAAAACGAACGTAATCGAGATAATAGTCGAACGAAGAAAAGGGTAAATAATCAAGTCTTTTCTAATTTATTATCCTTATCTAATGCAATTACCTTCATATAGACAATTTGAAAGATAAATCCCTCCTTCACTGGAAACGACATCAGCAATTTAACAAGCAAATAGAAATAATTTGAATTTCTAAATAACTTTCTTACAAGATAGCAAATATGATAATCATTTCGCTTTACACAAACTCGTTCAATATCATTTCATAAAGATTTATAGATATAATAAAATGAAATTAGGCGGTCACCCGCAGTTTTAAAACTTAACGATCGGGACTTGGGTAAAAAGAGATGGAGAGTGTTATAAAAAGACCAGACGAATCTCATTAAACGTAAATGAGTTCGATAGGGTGAAAAGCACCTGGCAACTCTAATATTAATATGCAAGTTGGATATCATACCACGGCAAACATTTCGTAAGTCGTGTTATTGGTATAAAATATAAACGACCTCGATAACGTTGAGTTTAGCTTTGTACGTCTAAAATTAATTATCGATGATGGCTGTGAGAGAAAAAGAGTAAGAAAAAGAGAGAGAGAGAGAAATAGAAAGAGAAAGAGAGATAGACAGATAAAGTAAAAAGGCGACATTTAAAACGTTACTTTACGACGTTCGATAATGAATTCGTAGGATTTACGATGAAAATAAATATAGGGATAAATGAGTTACGAAACGCAATAGGATTTGAACGGCTCGTTAGATCCCGTTAAGTTTCAGGTTGAAAAGTTATATTTATCTTGAGATTTTACGAGCTCGTCCAGAGTTCATACAAACCTCGGATTGGCCGATGAGACGTTTGCAAGATATTTTTGACGAATTTCAACATTTTACGTATATACGTACTTACTTGTGTGAATGCGTGCGAAAGCTTTATGTATGTTCTTCGGAATCTAGTTAGTCGAATTAGAACGAAGCTTTCCTCGTATCTGGTCCATAAAAGATGCAAGAGAATCGATATTTTGGTAAATTTATTTGTTAATTTCTAAATCGAGCTTTAAAAAGTATTGGACGTTCAATTTTTCGTGTTTCTTTTCTTTTTCTTTTCTTACACTTCTTTACATTACTAATTCGAAAAGAATTTTGTTTTGTTCTTGAACTACTTAAAGGGGAAACGAAAATGAAACTCTTGTAGTATAGAAACTCGCGACCATGTTATTTTAGACGTTGTTATCTTATTCAGCTGCACCAACGACGGTACTCTTTATCCCTTTTATATACGCTTCTTATTCTTCTTCTTCGTATATATGATGAAAGCTCGTATTGTGAGTTTCGTCGTTAGTTCGCAGTGAATTATAAAGAAGATGTAAATTATTTAATAATAATGCGAATTGTATCTGAATTAGAAGGCAAGTCTAGCGTATAAATTTTCAAGAAACGACGAATGCAAATTATTGAATATGGGATATTAATTAACAAGATAAGAGAATATTTGAAAATAAAAGAAAACGAATATAAAATTGAATATAAATTTTTTAAATTTAATGATAAATTTGATATATAATAGATATCTATTTATGTTAATTAAAAAAAAAAAAAAAAAAAAAAAAAAAATCTATCCATAATTTATTTTTCAAGTTTTATAAATGAATATGACAACATCGATCCTACTAGTTCCATTTTCACACGGAATATGCAAAAATTTTATGATGATCGATGCAACCGGTCATACCAATTTTTTCCTTGCGACTAGCGTCGTAAGTATATTCATAAAACATCGTCGGTTTTCCTTCTTCTTTCTTGCGTTACTTTGCATACGCCTGTCGTTTTTTATCGATTACCTGTGAAAAACGATAAATCCAGTTGTACTACTATTGCAAATATTTGAGAAGATACATCATCGTATTTTTCATGTATCTATGAATCTCTGTTATGAGAAAATATTTCATTCAGAGTTCTTAGAATTTAGATAATAAATCTATTTCGTCATTCTTACGAAAGATAAAATGATATCTCTTATCTTTTATTAAAATCGAAAAGAAAATTCATCATCGACTATTATTCAATGGAAAGTTATTACCTGAGATATTAAGACGTGGAAAATTAGTTATTCATTTTAACCTAATGACGTAGAGCTATATACCTTGCATGACAGATGTTTTAGCTTACACAAATGGTATAAATGTATATATATATATATATATATATATATATATATATATATATACTAGAACTTGAGAAAACTAACTTAGTTTTCTCTTACGACGACGCTTGGTTTGCATTGCAAAATTTCGCACTTTGTACATTTACTTTTTCGCACTAAGTCACGTAGGTACGTACACTGATGAAAGTGGAAAAAAAGAAAATTATATAAATTAAAAAAAAAAATAATAATAATGATAAGAACTCATTTGCGAATAAAAACTCATTAATGAATAAATCTTGATTGATTTATTTTCCTAATAAGTATCTATGTATATATATGCAGAATCGAATTTAAACGATGAGGTAAACCTATTTTCACGTCATCGAGAAAATAATGTTTGTAGCGACACGCCCACGAATCGCGGTCTTTCTCGAAGCTCGAAGCTTGATGCGAGTGTCTCGTTGTCGACGATGCTGCCTTCATGTAATGAATTACACACTTCGCTGTTCTCTCACAACATGGGAAAACATCCAGGTATTCGTAACGCCCTTGCATATTTGAAATATGTTCCAGCATCTGTGATCTTGCTAAAGATCAAATTGATTTTTTTTCATAGCCTTCTTCATCAATTTTAATAGAATTTCTCAGTCATAATGGAACAAAAATATTTTCAAAGTGATATTTTCAAATTCGATATTTTATTAATTTTTCTTTTTTTTCGCCTCATAAAAATTATTAATCAAGCAACGAAATCTTTTTCAATTTTAATGGATTAAAAGTTATTTTTTCCTTTATTAATCAAGAAATTTGAATTTTCTAACTTCTTGTTCGATAGGTTACAATCGATTCGTTTCTTTTTTTACTTATAGCCGATAACGAAAACTTACCGTCAGGATTTTAAGCTTGTTTATTTTAAAAGAACCAAATAAGAGGTAAAAAAGATATTTGAGTATTAATAACGTTATCTTTTACCAAGCATCCTTCTATCGATTTTCTGTTCAAACGACAGTATCTATTGATTATCTATTGACAAGCTATAAGAAAGTTTAATTAAATTATACCTCTTCTTAAAAACTTCTTCTTATTTCTTTGTAAATGACAATGAAACTGTATCGCTTTATTTACGTGATCTTTCTTAGCTAATTGATTATTGCTATCCTCTTTGTAATCGGATAACTCGCTTAACGATATTAAATTTTGACGTCATTGTAGAATGTCAGAAAGTTTACTTTGTTGTAATTATACAATATTTTTTATAATTTACTTCGGGAATTGTGAAAAAAATTTGCAGTTTTTATTTTGAAAAAAAAAAGGAATAACAAATAATATACAAAATTAAATTAATTTATAATAAAACTCAATACCATTTCTATATTATTATAAATTTATATAGAACATTTACAATCACGTCAAAAGTCCAACGAGATTACATTTTAAGCTCATGCAATTTAATTTACCGATCGGGAAATAACGCGCTCGCTTTGATTTGCAATGTGTTTATTCTTAGAACAGATAGGAGTAGTGACCTATATAAATTCTTGAAAATTCAAACGTCGAACATAGATCGCGGTATACAGAGATAGATCAATCGATCTTTCATTTGTTTGTATATGTTCGAATTTAAAAGTGATAAAAAAATGAATTTTACGATTGTTTTCGATTTTTTCAGAAAAAAATATACGCTAAAATAGCTCAGTTACATGTGATACGTGAATGAACATCACAGGCGATCGAATCGATTGCACTTTAAAAGCAAATATCTCCGTGGTAGCGGAACAATCGTAGAGAATCGAAACGAAAAGCGAATTCAAAGCATTCGATCCTTCTTTGTATTGTACGTTCCTTCATACTTCTATGTGTGTCCGTGTGTATTAGCTATGAATCCAGTTTGGCCACACAGAATGCGACGTTATCCATTCTTTGTATTCACTCTTTTTATTTTACTTTCTAGATTTGTTCGATTTCAGTCTTATTGATATCTCACGTTTAATATCTCAACTGTGAATATAGTATTAGAATTTATTTCCTTAATCAACGTTAAATATGCATATATTAAATAAATTTTCATTTGCTTTTCTGATATTTATCTTATAATTTTGAGTATATTATATTTATTTTTATTATTAATTTCTGCTAATTTATTAATCCTTAATGTACTGTTATTTAATGTAATGTTATGAGTAATTATTTGAAAATATAATATTACATCGAATAATTTGATGTACAAATACTCGGTAATACAAGTTACAATTCTTGATATTCTAAACTAACCTATGTCATACTCTAACTAGATAGAAGCGACATACAAAGAGACAATAAAGGTCGATGGTAAGATATAGAGAAAATATTTAGACTGGACTGAAACGTGATGGCTGTCAAGCTTTCAAGTATTCGAAAATGTGCCGCAGGTTATACGTGACATATGTTCTCTGAGTAACTTATTCTTCCCTGTTATATTCATCTCTGTAAATTTCCGTTTAAATTTACACGACAGAGCAATAACGATATTAGTTCATACAAAACTAACGTTGCTCCTATGTCTTGACAGATTTCAAAAGTGTTGAAAAAGTTCTAGTTAGGAAAACCTACATAAATGCTATTGTGCTTTTAACCGGGTCATCGTTGATAACGAAGAGAACGCACAAGTATCTTTCTTTTTATTTGAGTTCTTGTTGTATATGTGTTGTATATATATATACAGAGTATATACAATGGAATACTTAAATATTCGTACACTAGGAATGTATTTACATATTTCTTCTGTGCAAATATTTAAATCCCCTATTATAACGTATGTATATTTACAATATAATCTTATTATTTGTTGAAAAAACTTCAATTTACATTTTTATAATGTGATGATAAAATAATTAAATGACATAATCTAATCAAAAATTATTTCATGAAAAATATATTATATAGGTATATATAATTATTTCATGTATTGTTAATGTCTAAAAATGAAGACTGTAATTTTTCTAAATATAGAAATTCTTAGATTAAACTTAAATTAATAAAGAAAGATGAATAGTAATTGAAAATTAATACGCAATAAAAGGGTCTCGTTCATTTATCTGGTTTATTAAAACCATCAAATTTTTATTCTTTATAGCAGAAAAAAATAGTTTTCTATAATCAAATTAAATGGATTGTATGATAAATATACGCATTCATTGTCACTTAAAACAACTCATTTATAGATTCATTGTGCGTATTAAGAAATTTTCGTTTCCACAATTATTAAATCATTATCATTTCTCGTCCAATAGTTTCTTCCAAGCAACGATTAGATATCTTTCGAGAAAACAAATATCCTCTCTTTATTTTAATATAAATATAATATGATTTTCGGAGAGAAAGAGTAAAAAAGAGAAAGAGAAAGAAAGAGAGAGAGAGAAAGAGAGGTAAAGGAACAAAACTTAGTTTTTTCTCGCCTTCTGTTTTTTTATTTCTTTAAATCGTTTATCTTTTTCATTTCAATACGTTTCTCGTTGTAATTACATGAACTTGTTCATCGAAATGATAAAATTAACGATGAATGCAATCGAACGACTATATATACAAAGAGATGTCTAACTATGGGAAATAAACTATTTTCATGGCTCATAGTGTTCGTCGATAAAAAGTAATTCACACTTAGATGAGGGTTAGCACTCCAGGAGATGAAAAATGTCCGACGAGTGAACTTAATAATTCGCGTGGGTTTTTCGAAAAATATGTTCGAATTATCGAATGTTCGATATATCACGAGCTTTTTTCTGTTTCAATCAATACTGTAATAATCGTATATTTTGATTTTGTACGAATGTATGAGTTAGTCGTATTGTATTCTTTCAGTTTCATTCATTTTTCTTTTATTTTATATTTTTTTAAATATAAAACTTTATCTTTCTTCATATTATATATTTAATATTAATAATTATGTAAAATTTTGAAGGTAAGTACATTTGCAAATCAATAAGTAAAAATAAATAGAAATAAATGTGATAATACATAGATATATAATAAATATGATAATAAGAATATTATTTTATAATATAATAAAATATATAAAGAATATAAATAATTTAATTTGTGAAGAATTATGAAGTAT